GGAGGGCACGTTCTGCATGGAGCACTGGGTGTTATGCACAAACAATGAATCATGGAACACTACATCAAAAACTAATGATGTAATGTATGGTGATTATCATAACAATATAAAATTTTAAAAAAAAAGAGCCTGCCTTCGGCTCAGGTCATGATCCCAGGGTCCTGGGATTGAGCCCTATGTTGTATTGGGCTCCTTGCTCAGTGGGGAGCCTGCTTCTCCCTCTCCCTCTGCCCCTCCCCCCACTCCCCTGTCTCTCTCTCTCTCTCTCTCTCTCTCTCAAAATAAAATCTTTAAAAAAAAATATCTACACTTCTTACTAAAATAAACTGACAGCCAGCATATATCCTGCAAATGTGGCCTCTCACACATAAGAAGTATCAATAAATATGTTTTAGGATTTCTGAATAAATGCAATGTTATGATTCTGTGACAAAGACTCATTCATATCATGGTCAGAACTAGAAAGGAGATACATCTATACCAGAGATCAGCAAGCTTTTCCTATAAAGGGCCAAACAGTAAATATTTTAGGCTTTGAGGGCCATGTAAGGTCTCTGTTGCATATTCTTCGTTTTTGTTTCGAATCGCTTTCACAATGTAAAAAGCATTCTTAGCTTGGGGTTCTGCAAAACCAGGCCCAGGTCTGTATTTCAGTTAGAACAACTAAATTTCAAATGTATAAATATTTGTCTGTAAGGATATTAGTCATGCAATTTTTGTGCCTCTTCCTATTTTTGTTTTTACAACAGAACTCATTTCAAAATCTACATCTGATATGTGGGATAACAAAGCAGAACAAAAGAGGCCTTTTTATTTTCTTCATTCTTTTAGGTCACTAGACAACATTCTTTGGTCTCCCAGGATTTTTCTTCTATAGAACTTAAGTTTCCCTTCAACTAGCTGGAAACAAACACCAAGGAAACCACATCCCTCAATTGTCAAATGATGAATTATTGTTAAGTATACCCATCTGACACATCTTATGACTGAAAACAGCCAGAAAACTAAGTGCTACTTTCCTGTAACTTGGAAAATTGTGTAGGACAGAAAGGGAGACAGGATCTTCCATATGTGAGAGTATTGAGTGTGAGCAAGTAAATGTGTATGTGTACATCAGGCCAAAAATTGTCAGAAAGGGTTATGGAATAATGTGGAAGAGAGGAAAGTACAAGCCCCCTGGACCTTCAGCTCTATGATGAACAAATACCCCTCAATCCTTCATCCAGGGCTTCCTAACCATGACTCCACTGATGTCTTGGGATGGATAATTCTGTGGGTCCTGTCCACTGTAGGATGTTAGCAGCATCACTGGCCATTACACACTAGATGCCTGCACTTCCAATTGTAAGAGCCTAGGTGTCTCCAGACATTGCCAAATGTCCCCCAGCTTGAGACTCCCTGCCTCAACCTCTCTGAAGAGAACCTCCCCTGTTCGCACGGACAGTAACTTGCTGCCCCTCAGTCTACATGGAGATATTGTGCATCAAATCCCACATATATTGGGGGTAGGAAGGGAGTGAGTGACTTCTCTGATCCCCTGAGCACTTTCAAATGACTTATTCTCCTTCAAAACCATCAGCATCTTTGTAAGTCCTGCCACTGGCTAGACCACATGTCATCTTTCTCCTTTCTGCCGTCCACTAACTTCTTGTCATTCCTGATCCCCCCCACCTTGCCTCCTGACTCAACCACTGTGTTTTCCAACCTTACTCATCTCAGTGATTCTGACATCCACATGGAGATCAAACCAACACCCAGGGAAATAACTCATCTGAGATCTTGAATCCTTGCCTCAGGTCAGTGTTTCTTCTACCCCACACAAGCAACCCATTCGGAAGACCAATTTCAAACTCTACTCCAGCCCTCCACGGCTTTCCATCACCCTCAGAGCAAAACCCAACTCCTCACCACAACTCAAGACACCCCCAGCCCCCACCACCACTCCTGTCACCTCTTCCTGCTCTCCCTGAAGGCAGTCTCACCTACTGGTCTCTTCCTCCTCAACACACAGAGGTCACTCTCACCTCAGAGCCGTTTGTACTAAAACACTCTTTCCAAGATACTTGAATGACTCTCTTTCATCTTTCATTGTTAAAAAAAAAAAAAAAAGATGGTTTTATACATACATGGCTATACATGTGGCCATTAATATCATGCTATTATAGCTGCGAACGTCCCTAAACTGGGGAAGGAAACAAGTATTCACATCCAAGAGGCAGAGAGGACCCCTCCCAAGGTCAGTAAAAATGGACTAACACCCCAGCATATAACAGTGAAACTTGCAA